GTCATTTGACATCAGCTAGGGATCTAGCCCATTACACATATTTTTTGCCTGCCAATCTGATCGGAAGCTAATTCACAAGTTTTGAACCAGTCCACACTTTCTTAGCTCTTTGCCCCATGGGTTTAATTACAAGTGTAATTCTTGTTGGTGACGGAGAATGGTTCAGTCCCACTAGGGATAGAACTTTGGAGGAATTCAGTGTTGCACAGTTTTCAAGTATCTGATCTTCAACTTCTGTTGGGATGAATGGCCCAGAATCTTTTTCTTTCTTTCTTTCTTTCTTTCTTTCTTTCTTTCTTTCTTTCTTTCTTTCTTTCTTTCTCAGCCATTATATTAATTTTTCGCTTACTACAGACAGCAATAAACTGAAAAACTCAGGGGAGACACATCTTCCAGGAACTGCACAAATATCCCCAATCCACTTCTTAAGGCCACCATGAAGCCATCACAAAGCCCAAACAGTTGCCAGCATGCAGTGCGGAGGCGCCTAACCTAACCAATGGGAGATGATGACAAGATGGGTGTGTGCCAAGCCCCACCCCCTCACAGAGATAGTTGCCTACGTCGAGCTGGTGAGTGGCGCCTATCCCTGTTTGTGATCCATAGCTGGGAACCCTCTCCTTGGGGTCAGGCATCTATCGTGTTTTGTGTGACAAGGGGAAGGCCCTCTTGTTTAACTTTTAGCCCAGTGGTTAGGGTACTTACCTGGCATGGGGAACAACCCCAGTTCAAGTCCCCCCTCTGCCTGAGGAGAAGGGATTTGAAGGGGGATGTGCCACCCAGTGTCCTAACCACTGGGCTATGGGATATTTTGATGTGGGGCTCCCTCAATCCGTTCAAGCTGTTCCACTTTCGATTAAATAATTAAATCGTTGGGTCAGACAGGGAGAGAGAGAATATGAGAATTACCCTGTAGTCTGGTGGTCAGCTCACTTACCTGGGAGACCCAGTGTCCAGTCCCCCTCCTCCAATAACTTTTTAATTATTTATCCAGAGTGGAACAGCTTCAACTGGAGTGACTGTGGTACCTCACATCATGATACCCCTAAAACTGATGACATGGACAGTGGCACTGCATCCTTTCTCTGTGCAAGTCCTTGTCAATGTTGATCTCTCTCTCTCTACTCCATTCATCTGTGTGGTGCCTAAAGTCACTGAGGAGTCAAGTCCCAGAATCCTAATTTTTGAAAGAAGCCAGAAGGGGAGAGTAATTCCAATGTGCCAATTGTAGGGCTTTATTTGACTGGGAAACAGGGCTGGCACTACTGTTTTTGCCACCCCAAGCAGTGCACGGAATTGCCACCGTGGACGGCGGGGGCAGTTCGTGTGCCGATAGGGCGGCACGCGCGTTTTTCGGGGCGGCAGCAATTCGGTGGCAGCTTCTGTCTTCAGCCGGAAGACAGAAGCCGCCGAATTACCGCCGCGGGCGGCTGAACATAGAAGCTGCCGGCGAATTGCCGCCGGTGTGGAAAAGCTCATGCTGCCCTAACGGCATATGCACTGCCCCCGCCGTCCATGGCAGCAATTCGGCGCGCTGCTTGGGTCAGCAAAAACACACGGACTGCCGCCCCTTGCAGATTGCCGCCCCAAGCACCTGCTTGGAATGCTGGTGCCTGGAGCCGGCCCTGCTCGGAAAGGAGAGAAATGGAGACAGTGTCAGAGTCTGGCACCTGTTTGGTGTTAGCCTTAATCCCTATCCATAGCCCTAACCCATATTCAACAGGGACTTAAGCATGAGTTTACATTTAAACCTTCAATGGGGCCACTCATATGATTAAAGTTAAGAACATGCTGAAGTGGCTGCGGAATCAGGACCATTGTAGAGAATATTTAAAGGAAGTGAGTTTTAAATTCATAATCATCAGTGTTTGGAGCAGATCCTCAGCTGGTGTATATTCTCAGAGATCTATTGACTTCAATAGAGCTATGACAATTTAACTCAGCTGAGGATTGGCCTAAGGATCCCACTGTGTTACATCCATTTGCTCAGAGAAGCAAACCAGAGCATGTTAAAAATGTATCCAGTCAAAACAGATCAAAGTTCAAACACTATGTGCGTTAGGATGAGCTGTTTGTAAATGTTTGTAAATGAGTGATAGTCATAAAAATCTTTGCTAAATAATGTTCAATAAGGAGTTCTTAAAAGAAAATCATGATCTGGACATAGACAATCATTTACAGGAAAAGAAGCACAATAATTTGCACAATAATTTCCATAGATTATTCATTATCTAGCAAGCTAATATAATTCACAATCAAATAGAAATCTATCATTATGACTAAATGAGGTTGTGTGTTAGGACAAGGAATGGTCGTGTCTGTGTATCTCTCTATCTAATCCAGGGGTCGACAACCTTTCAGAAGTGGTGTGCCGAGTCTTCATTTATTCACTCTAATTTAAGGTTTTGCGTGCCAGTAATACATTTTAACGTTTTTAGAAGGTCTCTTTCTATAAGTCTGTAATATATAACTAAACTATTGTTGTATGTAAAGTAAATAAGGTTTTTAAAATGTTTAAGAAGCTTCATTTAAAATTAAATTAAAATTCAGAGCCCCCCGGACTGGTGGCCAGGACCCGGGCACCGTGAGTGCCACTGAAAATCAGCTTGTGTGCCGCCTTCGGCACTCGTGCCATAGGTTGCCTACCCCTCATCTAATCTAATGCTTTTGTCTGTCATATATGTAGTGTACACAACCATGCACAAAGATGATATTCTAATACTAATAACAGGCCAACTTTTGAGATCCTTTCTCAGCTTGGATGTGAGTAGATCTACACAAGATGGGGTATGGAACACCAGATCAGTGCATGTGATGGCACTTGTCCACTTACACCAGGGCTAGACCAAAATGACCCCAAACAAGAAACTTACACCAGTGTTCATGTCACTATTGAGTGCTGCCCAGTGACATTGGGCCAGAACCTCATCAGTATTAAACTGGTGATGTCAATGGGTCTACTCTGCATTGGTGCTGGTCTAGCTGAGTTGGGAAATCTGGCCCTTACACCTCTGTCACACTCACTTTCTCCAGGGTGCTGTCAGCCAAATCTGGATCCTTGTGTATATAGGCTATTGGTCAAATCCTGATCTCCTTTAAGTGAGGGGCTAAAGTGGAGTCGGTCCTGGGGCTGGTTTTGTTCAATATCCTCATTAATGATCTGGAGGATGGCGCGGATTGCCTCAGTAATTTTGCAGATGCCACTAAACTCAGGGGGGTGGTAGATATGCTGGAGGGTAGGGATAGGGTACAGAGGGACCTAGTCAAATTAGAGGATTGGGTAAAAGTAATCTGATGAGGCTCAACAAGGACAAGTGCAGAGTCCTGCACTTAGGACAGAAGAATCCCATGCACTGCTACAGACTAGGGATGGAGTGGCTAGGCAGCAGTCCTGCAGAAAAAGACCTAGGGGTTACAGTGGATGAGCAGCTGGATATGAGTCAACTGTGTGCCCTTGTTGCCAAGAATGCTAATGGCACTTTGGGCTGTATAAGTAGGAGCATTGCCAGCAGATCGAGGGACGTGATCATTCCCCTCTATTCGGCATGGGTGAGGCCTCATCTGGAGTACTGTATCCAGTTTTGGGCCCCACACTACAAGAAGGACGTGGAAAAATTGGAAAGATTCCAGCGGAGGGCAACAAAAATGATTAGGGGGCTGGAGCACATGATTTATGAGGAGAGGCTGAAGTAACTGGGATATTTAGTCTGCAGAAGAGAAGAATGAGGGGGTATTTGATAGCTGCTTTCAACTACCTGAAAGGGGGTTCCAAATAGGATGGATCTAGGTTGTTCTTAGTGGTAGCAGGTGACAGAACAAGAAGTAATGGTCTCAAGTTGCAGTGGGGGAGGTTTAGGTTGGATGTTAGGAAAAACATTTTCACTAGGAGGGTGGTGAAGCACTGGAATGGGTTACCTAGGGAGGTGGTGGAATCTCCTTCCTTAGAGGTTTCTAAAGTCAGGTTTGACAAAGCCCTGGCTGGGATGATTTAGTTGAGGATTGATCCTGCTTTGAGCAGGGGGTTGGACTAGATGACCTCCTGAGGTCCCTTCCAACCCTGATATTGTATGATTCTATGATTTATGAATCCAAATTTGGCTTCATTATTCCGAGTCAGATTTTCTTTAGGAAACTCTGGGAAAAGTTTTTCTTTAAAACAGTCTTTCCACCATAGCAAGAATGACACCATTTTTACATATTCACTTAGGTTAAAATAATCAAAAGATGCCTAACATATCATTAATTACACAGTTAAGCAAAAATAAGCTAACAATCTGACAAACAAACAAACAAAAACCACAAAGAACAAATGAATTTGTCATAACTATAAAGGGAAGGGTAACAACCCTCCTGTATACAATACTATAAAATCCCTCCTGGCCAGAGGCACCAAAATCCTTTTATCTGTAAAGGGTTAAGAAGCTCAGATAATCTGGCTGACACCTGACCCAAAGGACCAATAAGGGGACAAGATACTTTCAAATCTTGGGGTGGGGGGGAGAAAGGCTTTTGTTTGTGCTCTTTGTTTTGGTGGTGTTCGCTCTTGGGACTAAGAGGGACTGGACATAAACCCATGTTCTCCAAATCTTTCTGAACAAGTCTCTCGTATTTCAAACTTGTAAGTAACAGCCAGGCAAGGCGTATTAGTTTATCTTTATTTTCTCAACTTGTGAATTTTACCTTTGCTATAGGGAAGTTTATCTCTGTTTTGTTGTAACTTTGAAACTAAGGCTAGAATGGGTTCCATTGTCCAAAGACCCAGGGGTTTGGGACTTTGATCACTTTGCAACCAATTGGTGAGGATATTATTCTCAAGCCTCCCCAGTAAAGGGGGTTTAAGGACTTGCGGGGATATTTTGGGGGAAGAGGAACTCCAAGTGGTCCTTTCCCTGTTTCTTGTTAAATCACTTGGTGGTGGCAGCGTACCAGGTTTTAACCTAAGCTGGTAGGAATAAGCTTAGGGGGCTTTCATGGAGGTCCCAACATCTATACCCTAGAGTTCAGAGTGGGGAAGGAACCCTGACAGCATTCATACCTCAATCTGAGTTATTATCCCAAAATATAAGAAGAGCCAGAGACCTCATTAGGGACTTTGCTATGGCTACTAATTTTATAGGCAAGGGTGTCAGATAGTATGGTGATTGGTTGCAGTATACAATAGATATATTCCAATCTTATTTACATTTCTATAAACCTATAGAAACTCCTTTTTTTCTTGAGTCATGTTTGTCTGTATTTCTACTAGTGTAAATACCCACTTCTGCATAAACACATTGCACAGTATTTTCTCATGGAGGCAATAATGTCATCAGCTGATTATATTTATAAAGAAACACAGAATGAAATTGTTACCCAAGGAGAAATATGGACATTTTGTTCTTAGTGAATAACCTCCAACCTATCCATTTACTCAGTGCATCTTTCAACTCTTTGTTTCTCATGCTGTAGATGATCGGATTCATCATTGGTGGCAACACAGAATAGAGAACAGCCACCATGAGATTCAGACTGGATGTTAAGCTGGAGGTGGGTTTCAGGTAGGCAAAGGCAGAAGTACAAAAGAACAAGGAGACCACAAAGAGGTGAGGGAGGCAGGTGGAGAAGGCTTTATGCCGGCCCTGCTCAGAGGGGATTCTCAGCACTGCTTTGAAGATCTGAACATATGACACAATTATGAAAACAAAGCAGCTTGACGCTAAGCACAGACTAAAGATGAGAAACCCAACTTCAGTGAGGTATGAGTCAGAGCAGGCGAGCTTGAGGAGCTGGGGGATTTCACAGAAGAACTGATCCACCATGTTGCCTCCACAGAAGGATATTGCAAACGTGTTCCCGGTGTGCAGTGCAGAATTGAGACTGCCACCGATCCAGGCACTGGCTGCCATTTGGACACAAGCTCTCCTGTTCATCACTGTCTCATAGTGCAGTGGTTGGCAGATGGCGACATATCGGTCATATGCCATGACGGTCAGTATGGCAAAACCTGCTGAAGCAAAGAAGAAGATGAGAAATATTTGAGCAACGCATCCAGAATAAGAAATCGATCTTGTGTTCGTGAGGGAATTGGCCATGGATTTGGGGATGCTGACAGAGATGGAGCCGAGGTCTAGGATGGACAGATTCATCAGGAAGAAGTACATGGGGGTGTGAAGGTGGTGGTTGAGGGCTATGGCTGTGATGATGAGAAGGTTCCCCAGCAGGGATATCAGGTAAAGCACTAGAAACACCACAAAGTGTAAAATCTGCAGCTCCCGAACGTCAGAGAATCCCAGGAGAAGAAATTCAGTCACAGCGGTTTCGTTGGACATTTTCTTCCTCAGTCCGCTGTGTGATGGCTGTGGAGGGAATGAGAAGGACAATGGTCAGTATTAGAGCAACAGAGGGAATGTCCCTGATTCCCCTTTCCCTAGGAGGGATAGCTCAGTGGTTTGAGCATTGGCCTGCTAAACCCAGCGTTGTGAGTTCAATTCTTGAGTTGGGCCATTTAGGGATCAGGGCAAAAATCTGTCTGGGGATTGGCCCTGCTTTGAGCAGGGGGTTGGACTAGATGACCTCCTGAGGTCCCTTTTGACCCTGATATTCTATGATTCTAACATCTCACTATATGAATATCAAAGGTGCACAGAACTCATCACTTACAATGACAAGGTGTTGTTACTGCTCCTTGCCTCTGACAATCAGTGAGTTCTGTTATCACAGTAGTGTAAATTGTGTCACCTGCTTTAAAGTCAATGGAGCTTCATCACTTTATCCCATCTGAGGATTTCGCCCATGGTGTGGCTTGATAAAATGCAGAACAAAGGATGGAACAAAGCCCACTCCAAATCCAACAATTCTTGCAAAGTAGGTCCCTCCATTACGACCATCACCAAGCTCACAACTTGGGAATGAAACTCATAAACCAGGGGTCAGCAACCTTTCAGAAGTGGTGTGCCGAGTCTTCATTTATTCACTCTAATTTAAGGTTTCGTGTGCCAGTAATACATTTTAACGTTTTTAGAAAGTCTCTTTCTATAAGTCTATAATATATAACTAAACGATTGTTGTATGTAAAGTAAATAAGGTTTTTAAAATGTTTAAGAAACTTCATTTAAAATTAAATTAAAATGCAGAGCCCCTGTACCGGTGGCCAGGACCCGGGCAGTGTGAGTGCCACTGAAAATCAGCTTGCGTGCCGCCTTCGGCACACGTGCCATAAGTTGCCTACCCCTGTCATAAACTAAAATGCTAACACAGCCTTATTCCCACTTTGCAGGGCAATATGACATAGACTCACCCAGAATCATAAGTGACAGCTCATCTGTAATTTTTCTACCCCAAGCTCTATGCCTAGACGGCCGACTCCCTGCTCCCAAATTGATTTATGGCATCAACTCCCAGCAGCACTTCTGCCTGCGTCTAACAATGGACTGGTAGTAAACGTATCATTTACTCTCTGCTGTGGGGTGAACTGGCTGTCAGGACACCTGGGCTCTGTTCTTGTCTCTGCCAGTGACCTGCTCTGTGACCTTGGACCCGTCATTTACCCTCTTTCTGCCTCTATTTCAAGCCCCCCCCCCCCCCTTCTCTGCCATGTCTATTAGGACTGTAAGGGCTTTCAGAGAGGAGCTCTAGGGCAGATTTTTAAAGGTATTGAGGCACCTAGTGGGATTCTCAAAAGCATCAGGGCCCCAACACCCCTTGGAATCAATGAGTTGTGAGCTCCTAGGTGCTTCTGAAAAGCTGACTAGGCACCTAAATACCTTTGGAAATGTAGCCCCATGTCTTACTCTGTTTCTCTTCTGCACACCCATTTACACCATTTATACTCAGCCAGCTGCAGTTTGGAGCTAGGCCAGGAGGTCTGGGTTCTACTCCCTGTGAGATCCTGTATGTCCTTGAATGGTGGCAGGCTAGACAGGCTTTGGCTACTTGGTTCAACTCTAACCCAGGGTTTAAAGGGGCGCTTCTGTATAAAATATCCTGTGCGCTGCCAACTTCACTGTTTATTCAGTTGTTACCTCCTCACAACTATCCCTTTGAAAGAGAAATCACACAGATGCAATAGAATACATGGGTTTGAAATCAGGCCTTATCAGGCAATATTAATGTTCCCCAATTCATTTAAAGTTTAAGGCTGGTTGGAAATTTTCAGCTGTGTTCTTTTTAATGGAGATTGGTTTTTCAGCTGAACAACAACAAATCTCAGAATCTGTCTGCTGTTCTCAAACATTTTGGGATTGTTTTGTAAAAAAACTTAAAACTTAAAAAAACAAACTGTTTTGGTTTTGAGATTTAAAAAAAAATCAGTTTTTAGCTGAAAGTTTTCATTTGCCAATAACTGGGGGAAAATGGATATAAGGTTTTCAGTGAAAAATAAAAAAAATCCTGATGGGAGGAAAAATTCCAATCAGCAGTAGGTATTTGATTAAACCGATGGTAAAGGTCTTAACCAGTTCGTATTGTAATTCATATTTATCATCTTAATTTTCCCCTGTATGTTGATCCCCCAACATATTTAATTGAAATCGCAAACTTCCTGTACTAGTCTTTGTGGATTTTTTCCCCAACAGAAGACACATTCAGTCATCCAGCACTATGATGTTTTGGTCAATATCTATCTATAGACCAGAATCTAGAAGCTAATGGCACAGGTATCGGAGAATCCTTTCACCCCTCATTGTGCGATTGAACTAGACTCAAACCTGTTGCTCTCTGCAGACGAGCTGTGTGTGTAGCTGGCTTTGAGCTGCACTGGCATTAAAG